AAAGTCCCGTCTTCAGGCCATGAAATTGGAACCTCTGGATGAGGCTGTGGTGGTGAAGGAATCGGGGTGGACGGCGATGACGTGGAAGACGTCGATGCCACCGATACAGACGAGAAAAAGTCCTCATCGGATGACGGCGGCGGAGGGGTGGCTGATGGTAAATTGGCAGCTGCGGCCGGTGGTTCTGATTCTGATAGCATGTCAACTGGATGCGTGATTTCCGTTAATTTTCTCTAATTCTTGAATTATTATTTTTTTATTTTTTAGTTGATAGAATAACTGAGACAAGTGTTTTATATATTTTAAAAAGAAAAAGAAAGTTTTGTTGACAGAGTATGTTCATGGTGAAATGAGAGAGAAAAGCCAAAACAGTAAATAAATTAATTAATATTGTGTTGGTGCTGTGTCATTCACAGCTCAGTTCGTTTGGACATAATTTAGTCAAATTTATGAGATTGTCATAATATATGTATCCAAGGGATGTCTTTAGACTTCTTTTTCTTCCTTTCTCTATTAAAGTTTAATTATTTTGACTTATTTAGTATTAGTATCTATATTAGAGTTCAATTATTTTGAATTACATTATGTAAGGTCTCAATGAGAAAAAAATATTTCTTACCAAAAAAAAAATTCATATTCAAATCTCGAATTCAAGTCCCAATGAGGGAAAAGTTCATATCCTTATATATAATTGATATATGGCAAATTATTATCTTAGCAATATAATTTTTTTTAATGCATGTATTAACTTGATTAAAGATATAATTATCTTTAATAAAATAAATTACACGTCCTTTCAACCACACATAAGAGTATTCATTAGCGTGAAATCTTGACTAACAAAAGTTGTACTGAAGCGATAAGTGCTTCTTTGTACAAGTTTAAGTTTCTACTTGTGCACACTTAAAATTGAAGGATATAAATGTTAAATAAGACAAAGTTAAAAGGCACATTTATGTATTACGTTTTGATAATAATAAAACAACCCAATAAAATAACAAGTGCATAAGTCAAATTAAAATAATAAAATATATATGTAAATAGAATAAGTCTAAATTTTGGTGTTGATAATTGATAACATTATCGGAAAAGCTTGATATCATTATCCTTCAAAATATAAACAACTTGATATATGTTTTCATGATTTCGGATCTTAAAAAGTTTGTTAGTGTGATCCTGTCATGAATTTCACATATTATTTCCTAATTTGTCCAGATATCTAATTAGATTTTCACCCCATATAATATTTCATATATTATTTTTGTGATGTTCTAAACAAAAACAAAAAAAACATATAATTTATACATATTGCTTCAATTTTTTGGTATTCATATGCATGTAATGTACGTCTGTTCAAATAAAATTTCATAGCGGATCAAGTTTAACGAGTAATTCAAATTAGTATTATTAGTAATTAAATTTACTATATATGTCTTTAATAAAAACTTGTTTTTTGATCAAATTTTAGATAATTTTCTAATCAAATCCCTCGTGCATTTTGGAAAAAAATCGTCTACGAAGGTATAAATAAAGATGCTATTAGGATCTTAGGTCCTATATGGTATCTTGATATTATGAGTATGAAGTTTATTAATTATTTAATTGTGTGCGCTTCAATGCATTTTTTGTGACAAAAATTGCATTACGTCGAAATGTATTTAGCAGCCTTTTAGGAATATTTTTTTTTCTTGTCCTACAATTTCTTTATTTATTATGATCTTATAGTTTATTCTATTATAAAAGTAAATTTGTTAATGCAATCAATTTAATTTGACCTTAATTAACTAAAATTTCAGCCGGTATATTTATGGAATTATTAAAGCCAAGAAATTTAGCTTGACATCTTGTGCGTAATTATTTGCACAAATTAAAGAAGATTGATTGCGTTAAAGATTTGATACAACATCAGCAGAATATCATATATATATATATATATATGAGAATCCTAGGCCCGTCTACGTAGATTTGATACAACATCAGCAGAATTACAGAATATCATATATATATATATATATATATAATAAGCTACAATGTAAAGATTTTTATAGTATTTAGTTACATTGTAACTATCTTGTTAGATTTCAGAAAAAAGGAGTATTTCTTTTAAATAATAAACATGTCATTGTATGAGCTATTTATTACTCATTCCTTTTGAATTTGTTAATCTGATTTTGATCTGACACATAGTTTACGAAAGTAAATTAGATTTTGAAAAAAAACATTAAGTTATACTTGAAGTTGTCCCAGATTTTCAAAAAGACAACTTAACTTTGCGTGCATCCTATTACCCCCACAAAACATTCAAAATCACAATAAGCTACAATGCAAAGATTTTTATAGTATTTAGTTACATTGTAACTATCTTGTTAGCTTTCAACCAAAAGGAGTACTTCTTTTAAATAATAAATATGTCATTGTATGAGCTATTTATTACTCTTCCTTTGAATTTGTTAATCTGATTTTGATCTGACACATAGTTTACGAAAATAAATTAGATTTTGAGAAAAAAATATTAAGTGATACTTGAAGTTGTCCCAAATTTTCAAAAGGACACCTTAACTTTGTGTGCGTCCTATTACCCCACAAAACATTCAAAATCACAATAAATACATATTTTTACACAATATTTCCACTTTGGACAAAAATATCTTTCGAATGTGCAATTTCTTAAAAACAAAAAGTGGGACCCATTATTGATGTATTGAAGGATGCTTTGGTAATTTCCTATGATGAATTCGTTTTGTTTGTTTCTTTTAAATTTATTTTACTATACTAAATAATTGTATAAAATATTATAAATCACGATAATTAATTACTTAAAATATTTAAAAGATATAAAAATATATAAAAGATCTGATTGACTCTTCAAATTTTACCGGTGACACATAAATTGGGACAAATGAAATAATATATATTATTTGAAAATTTCTTAGAAAGTACTATAAATTACAGTAATTAACAGCTAGAAATATTTCAAAGACAAAAAAAATTGATTGTTTTTAGTATTACATAAATTGAAAAAGAAGAAATGACCTCTATTATTTGAAAATGGCGTAAAAGTATTACAAATCATACAATAAGAATTAACAATTTAAAATTTTAAAAGACTTTAATGCTTTATACTTATTCTATTTCCACTTTGGACAAAAATATCCTCCCAATATGCATATTTTTTTAAACAAAAAATGGGACCCATCATTGATGTATTGAAGGATGCTTTGGTAATTTTCCTATATGAATTCGTTTTGTTTGTTTCTTTTAAATTTATTTTACTATACTAAATAATTGTATAAAAATATTATGAATCACGATAATTAATTAATTAAATATTTAAAAGATATAAAAATATATAAAAGATCTGATTGACTCTTCAAATTTTACCGGTGACACATAAATTGGGACAAATGAAATAATATATATTATTTGAAAATTTCTTAGAAAGTACAATAA